TGTCAATCAAAGTGGATGTAAACAATGACACTTCTGACCTTTACCTTTATCATTGTACAGTTCTGCTACAGTGTTATCCATCCTATCCTACAGTGCGGCACTGAACCGCTTAATGGTGTGCAATTCAGCAGACCGTACAATACTTGGTCGGTGGCACAGCGCGAGAGCCAGTCTTCTGCTCGAGTCTTTTTCTTCTTTTCCGGCCTCGAATGCAGATCCAGGCATCAAGTGCGGAACTCCTTAATATGACTGCACGTGGACGATCTTCAAGGCGCTCTTTTTTTGTCTCGATGTCGCAGTACTATCCAGCAGATAATAGAAAATCGCGTATATCCCTATTGGACACGCATCTCTCTCATCTCGGAAAACGAGTAACATCACCCTTGCCGAGTATCATGAAACGAGTAGAGGGCGTAGTGTCATTCTAGGGCTTTTGCGACACTGATTTGTTAAGCGGCAAGAACACGGAATAGTATGCGGCAGCTCTGCTGTCCTCTTCAAACGTGGTATCTAGTCGGCGCTGATTCTTTGCGGAGGACTCATGAGGAAAGGCCATAGTGGCCCCAGCAGTAATATCAAAACCGAGGAAATCCTTCTGTGGTCCTTCTGTGGAATGTTGCATGGATTGATCAGAAGTCATGACGATAACTAGATTGAACAGAAAGGAGTTGCCAGTATAAGCAGTAGCCGTGCTGTAGGCATGGAGTCATCGTCGTTGACAGCGCGTCATAACCACTACAGAGGTGGTAATCAATACCATTGCAGATAGGAAGAAAGACGAGGTATAAGTATGGTGTGTTGTCCCGATCTCCATTTTCCAGCAGATTATTCGCGACAATAGTTTTGGAACTAATAGCGTAGTAGTGTTGCGGCTTTTAAGAGACGGCTGCAATGGAAGTGATCGCAAGGGTTCTCCAGTGTCCCACGGCAACATCCGACAAATGACCGAGATCAGTAGTTGATCCTATTGACGCAGTTATCGTGTTCCGTGTAGTCTTTCTCTGTTACGTCCTCAAATGCGTGCGAAATGCTAATACGCCTGATATGGTGATATTGTGCATCATTTGTCCGCACTCCACTCCACTAAACACCTATCCTTGTGTTTAGTCAAACGTTGTTTCCGTTTGGACAATGACCTTTGTTTGGGACAATTGGATCTCAGCCACTTTTGCTGTTGCCGACTTGAATGGATTGTATCTACGTACGTACTTCCTTGTTTTTTAGCACGGGCGTCCGGAGCCAATGTAAGTGAATCTGTGCTCCTTCAAATTGATTCGATTGGATTTCTCGACTCTCGAATGTTGCGTGTAAGTGATGTTTCCTGCCACGGGTTCTCTCTTTGATTCTCTAGGGTTCCTCCGGGAGAAATCACAAAAAAGTTTCATTTCGGATTCCCGCATCTTTATGAAGGAGTCTTGGTGAAATTTCCAAGTTCCTTCCCTATTTGTGAGGAAAAAACTGGGTTTGCATACCGCTCTCTGCTGTGGAGAAAGTTGCGATGGGACTTCAGAAGTTTGCTTCTTACGCCCATGGTCCAATTCATGGAGCATTAAAACTTTCTTTCCAGTGGGCGGACTAGAGGTACTTCACCTGTCTCTCACAGGGGAAAGCTAGCTCAGAAAACTGATGTAAGTTTCCCGGTTCCTGTTGAAGGAGACTCGGTGAAACTCAGTTCTTTCCCCGATTGAGAAGGAGACTGTTTTGCTTACCCCCGTTTCTCTAAGGAGAGAAAGGGCGCACCAGGACTTTTGACGAAGATTCTCTCCTTAGATGGATGTGAGAGCTGTGGAACTTTCTCTCCAATGGGTTGGAAAGAATTCAGATGTCTGTCGCTCCTTCACGACAACTAGCGCAGGCAGTTAGTTTAGATTCGATTAGATTAGGCACCTTGTGGAGGTAAGGCGCGTAAACTATTGTAGATGTAAGTATTTCACGTCCTTGGGCGAACTGTTGGAGTTTCGTTTAAGTATGCCACGTCCTTAGTCGGAGTCAAAATTCGGAACACTTTGACTACTGCTTCTGTCTATCACTGACGAGAGCTAGGGCAGGAGGGGAAGAAGATTCTACACCGGCTGATCCATCAATTCAGTGTGAAGCCAGCATCGCGCATCTATTTATTAAGACGCACTCGTACTAGAGCCGAGTGACCGACGTAATGCAACGATTTGAGGGTTTATATACAGATGAATGTGGGCGATGCTCAGCTGCTATACCAGTGGCGGCACTAAATTAAGGGAATGAAACAGCCATTGGGGGGGGCGGGCGCTGTTTGTCGACGGGGGGGGGGGGCATTTTGTACTATCATTGCTTCCTCAGTTCCAGTTTACATGTCTTACACTGGCGAAACCTGTGAACACTTGTGCAGCTGGAACAAGGTAGTCAAGTCATCTTGTTAAAACCTGTCAACTCGAGAAGAGGCTGTCTAGACAGGCCGACACGTCGTTGGGAGGTAGCAAAAGTGCAAAATGCCCCCTCGTCGACAAACTGCGCCCCATCGTGGTTATCTGATGCGTGCAGTTGATTGCTCGCTCAATATGCCGCGAGCTTACGTCTGCGGTGTCATTCTAAGGTAAGAGGTGCTTACCTACTCGTACGCCTATGCTCAATAAAATGGTCTGGTACGCTATCATTCGTTTTAAATGTTGGACATATTATACCTTTTCAGCTATATGTTTATATGACAGTTATGGTTGTAAGTTCTCAACATACCGTTACTACAATGGTTGTGGTTTGTCTTCAATCGTTGTACTCAGTGTGAGAAGCTGTTTTGCTCTGACCAAAAAAGACATGTGATTTTGAGTACTTCCAATATGACATCTGATTTTGAGTACTTCCAATATGACACTGTACCGTCCGATTCAATTTTGCGAAGGATGCCTTCAAAAAAGCACAACTGCAGAAAACTGGCCTTTCACGCTTTCTCTGATGCGCATGAGAGAAAACATGCCTGAGTAAGATACAAACGTACTTTCAGGACTTACAGATGTCCAAAAAATGCAGAAACGTGATACTGCCAGGACTCGAACAACCGGCCCTCTCATCTATGAAGCAACTTACTCATCCACAACCATCAGCCATTTGGCACTGATGTTTTTCAAATTTGCCTTGGGCGAGCACAGAGGAGCACGATGCCATGCTGCCCCCCCCGTAGCTCCTCCGAAAGGCCGTCCGAAAATACCGAAGGCACATTTGGGGTAGTCCAGAGAGTATGTCGATATGCAGCCCAAGCTGAATGCCACAAAACTGCTCACTAGGGAAGGTCGTCAGGTCGAAGTGGCCATTTGTGATGAGATGTAGATCACTAGACGTGGTTTTGGACGCTGATCTTGAATCTGCCTTCAAAATTTGCAAAGCGATTCTCTGAACGGAGTTATGGATCTGCGTTTACCACGCAACAGGTCGTGGG